GTTGTTACTAATATTGCGTACAGGTAATATAAGTGGCCCGCCTTAGCCTCGTCACTACTTCGTCGAGATTAGGCTCAGCACTTACCAGTACATGGGGTCGGTTGTACTGATACTACACTCTGCACTTCTTCTGTAGATTGCGGAGTTGGTCCCAGCGGCGTACCATAGACTTGCTCGGATTTCAGCTATTCAGAGGAGACTTGAGGTATAACTGCATGGCGTCCGCAGTTCTGAAGTCCCCGTCTATTTTACTTTTGCTGTGTATTTTTTTTCAGACAGCTTTATTTTATTCAAACCTTTATTTGTATTATTCTAGAAGCTCGTGCACTTGTGACACCAATTCTGGGATGGTATTTAGACACCGTTGTTTTTATGGATTATTTCACTATATTTCAAACTTTGCTTTCGCTTTTGGTTCCTTGATTATTAATAATGTAAAGATTGTTTAAAAATTGGTTAATATTATTCTAACGTTGGTTTGCCTAGCAACTGAAATATTAGGCGTCATCACGGTCCGAAGGTGGGAATTTCGGGTCGTGACAATCGTTGGAAAAGAAAACTTCAGTTTCTTGTTAAATCAGCGATGAAGAGTGAACCAATATGAAGAAAAACTGAGGGAAATAAACGATAGTAATGTGACGGCAGCCCTAAATTTTATCACAGTGCCTTATTAGATATACTCCATTTTTAAAAAATTTATTATTTAGAAATAAGACGCCTAATAAACTTTAGTTTGTTGTTTCTGATTAACTTAACTAAATTGGGTGTATACACCCTGCGTGGATAAGTTTTTACCTTGTCTATACCGTCTTCTCCGCCACTGACACCAAAAGTTCCATTCACAGGTACTAGCACCACTGCCAATTGGATTCTCGGTGTTTTTGGTTCATTTGGCCACTATTCCCATCCCTGGCAATGGGATCAATCCTGCTAGGAGCTTTGGAGCTGCTGTAATTTACAACCATACCACAGCTTGGAATGACCATGTAAGTGTTTATACTACTTACGATGGTTCTAATTTAAACTGTCTTTTAAAGTTCAACTAGTTCTCGAAGACGTGCGCACGTGTATCCCATATTAATCAGTATAAATTAACAAGAAAGCTTATAAGTTCTCGAATCTATAATCATGTTTATACAATATTAACAATAATTACTATGTATATTGAATCTCTCAACCTCTTGTGAGCGAAAGGAACTCCATCCAGAGAATAAAAATGAACTGCTTAGTACTTTTTTGTTTTTTGAGTAAAGAATGCCCTGCTTAGTACTTTTTTTTTGGAGTAAAAAATGCCCGATAAATAACAGTGACTCCATACTTGATATCATAGAATCCCCGTAAGTTTTTGCTATCATAGAATCTATTGTAAGTTCTTGTTTTAGGGGGATTTTATCTTTTGTTTTTTCTTGGAGTATGTATCTTGTCACTTCTAACTGTACAGTCTTTGACAAAATTTAAATTTGAGTTCACTTAATGTCTAGCCTCCCATTAGCTAGTTTTTATTTTACAAATTTCATTGTGTCTCAGCTAGAATAGTTGTATATTGAGGATGCATCAACTTTAGATATATAATTGTATATTTTAGAATTAACTTTTGGAATTATTCATGTCAGTTTGTATGAAATAACAGATATCTAGAGCTTATGATGTTTCTAGTTTTTATAAAACAAACTATGCATGGATATAGAATAATTAAAAAATTTAAAAATATTTAGTGAGGTAAAAAAATAGCAATGCATTTGCGATGGAAACATTTATTGTCACTAATAAATTAATTTTTCATCACTAATTCAAATATAATAGAAAATCTAGTCAGAAAATAAATATATATAAAAAATTAATCATGGATATTGGTGATGATTTATACCTACAAAATTTTGAATTTGTAGCTAAACATAAATGCTACCCTCCGTGGCTAATATGTGAGTACAGCTACATATTAAATTTTTTGTAGCAAAACACATTACATCTTTTGCCAGAATATATCCCTTTGTGGCTAGTATAAAAGATAGCTACAAAGTTGGTTTTTTGTAGCAAAAGAATAAACTCATTAGCTACAAAGATAAATTTTTCGCGGCAAAAGTTTTATCAATATAGCCACATCATAAATTTTTTTGTAGCAATATGTATTAATCCTTAGCCATGAAACATTAAAGTTTGTAGCTAACTTTTAGTTACCTTGCTACGCATGCTGCGGAAAAAATATTGTAGCTAAAGTGTTTAGCCATGAAATTTTTTGTATTTAGCTACGATATACTTTGTAGCTATATATGCATAATGTTGTAGTGTGTAAACAACCTCAAAAAAATAAAATACATAGTACTATAAACATTTACGATTCATGTATCATGTTATATAATTTTTTTGTATACAGTCAACAATTTAATTTTTATTTTTACACTGATCTTCTTCTACTTGAAAAGTGTCCCGCTTATTAGTTACTATTAACAAATTACCACCACTCAAACCACTAGAATAACACAAAAGCCAAAAAATCATTTTATAACAAAAATATAACAACAAAATCAAATAAGGTTGCTAAAGATTTCAGCAATCTAAATCCCAGCTTTTGGATACCAAAATGGAACAGGAATCAGACATTAGTAAATAAAGAGAAGAACTAGAGAAAAATTCAAAAATTGAACCTGTGATATGTTGCAGAATGAAGAACGGCAAAACCAATGGATTTTTTGAGGAACAGGAAAATTTGGACAGAACCAAGAGAAATGAATACAGTGATTAGACAATTTGATGTGCATTTTCATAGAGTGAAATAAAGAATATATGCAAAAATATTACACCATTATAACCCTAAAAGATGAAAGAAACAAAACTTAAATATGAAAACTATATGACTTCCCATCAATAATTACAATAAATAAATATAGTTAAAATATCATTTAAGATTGCAAGAATCAATATTCTCACGCAATTAATTAAAAAAATATTCCCGCGTAATTCTATATTTATTGTATTTTCATGTTCATATACATTGTATGTGAAAAGATGTTCATAAATTAATAAATTTATAATTTTACTGACAAAGATACCCCTGCCGTTAGCCAAGTTGATGAAAATACCCCTATTTTAACGGAGGTCCATTGTGGCAATCTGAGACAAATTTTTAGTTCAAATTATACACGTGTCATCTTCTAATTGGATGTCTTTATTTATTTATTATTTAATAATATTTGTTTTTCATTTGAGAATTTTATTATTTCCTTTCTTCTTCTTTTTCCTTTCTCTTTCTTTCTTTCTTTCTTTTCTAACTACTTTGCAGGTTGTCACTTCCATTTTCCCTTCCGCCATTTTTCTTTACTTCTTTCTTCTTCTTTTTTTCCTTTATAGAGAGATCTGATAGGGGACTGATATTAAACAGAATGAAGGAAGGAAAAGAAAATAAAAATTGAAGTAGGTTAAAGGTTGAAAGAAAATTTTGGTTGGTCGGAAAGCTTGAGGATCGCCGGCACCATTTTTCCGGCAAAATTTAAAGTGTAGTGAGGATGACTTTTTTCTCATCTTCAAAAGAAACAAGATTTCCAACTAGAAAATAAAACTACCAGATCATAAGTATCCCCATGACATTCATTAACACCCAATAAAAATATATAGCAAAATGTATTAGTAACATTTATCTTTGACCAAGAGCTTAACTTTACTGCAATTTCCCATAAAGTGTGACCCCCAAATTTGCTAATATTAGATTTTCTCTGTAGTGCTTCGGATATCATAGTTGAGATAGACAAAAAAAGATAAAAAGAATGAAAGAAAAAAAGAAAAAATGGTAGAAGGAGAAATGGCAGTGACGAAGGACTTAGAAAAGAAAGAAAGAAAGAGAAAAGAGAAAAGAAAAAAGAAAGAGAAGAAAAGGAAATAGAATGAAAAATTCTAATGAAATGGATTAATTTTAAATAATAGTAACTAAATATAAACATCCAATTAGAAGATGACACATGTATAATTTGAACTTAAAATTTCTTTCAGCTTGTCACAGTGGACCTCCGTTAAAAACTAGGGGTATTTTCATCAACTTTGCTAACGTTAGGGTTATCTTTGTCTCTAAAGTATAACGAAGATTATATATGAACTATTTTTAAAAGTAGAGAGATATATCTGACCATTTTCCCTAGAAATAATGTTTGTCTGAAGGGTATAATGGTCATTCAATTTTTGATGGGTATTTTGGTAATTCAAATTTTTATTTTGGGGCTTCCTACTTATAATATAGTATAAGGATATAATAGAGCTAATTAGTCTTATAATATTTTCCTTATCATTTTTCATAGTGGATCTTTTGGGTTGGACCTTTTCTCGGAGCGTTGGCTGCTTCTCTCTATCACCAGCAAGTTGTGCGAGCTCATGCTGCCGATACTTGGAACTAGTCTCTCGTCATTAATAATGCTGTATCTACCCGGTAGCACTTAAGGAGTGATTATCATTTGCTGGCCTTGAATTTCTTTTGTTTTTTACGCACTTTTTGTGGCTTGTAAAATGTCGAGCACAGTTGTTTGGTTCTATCAATGATATTTTGATTATTCTTCAGTTTTAAGTTCTACCTAGTTTCTCTTTTAGATATTTCACTAGTTCCGCAGTCTTTAGTAATAACGAGAATTAAAATTACTTAGGACTTTCTTTTAAGATATTTTACTAGTTCCACTGTCCTTAGAAAATGATAAGAATTCAAATCACTTAGGACGGCAGAGCACGCCATTACTAAACAAGCTAGCGAAGTCCTTGTGGTGATTAGGCTAATTGCTCATTGACAAATAGATCAGAATCAAGAAATAAGTCAACATATAAATTCAGACGTTATACATGTGCAATCCAGCACCAATATTAGAAATCCAATTATATCAATTTAGACAGCAACTACTAAAATTCACAATTTAGAGGTACAGTTGATCAATTGATTACCATTAATCTAGAAACCAGTTTTTCGTTGTGCTTAATTAGCTAATTGTTCATCAGTATGATATCAGCATCAGAAAATAGCCAAGGTATGAGTTCAAACGTAATGCTTCAATATAAACAGAAGAAATCCAATTCTATCAATTTAAACAACTCATGACAGCTATCAAGCTGATCAAGACTTACACTTAAAGCAGACGACATCCATGTCTTCTTACGATTGAGATACAATGAACCAGCTTCTCTTTCGTTCTATTACCGGTCATTGCAAATCTAAAACTTGCTTTTATGGTCAGAGAAGCAGAAAACGTAATCAAAAGGTCAAAAGGTAGGAGACCTGATCAATGAAGATAATAATAAACTTCACGTGAGGTAATGCTAATACCCTTGATCCTAAAATCAAGCTCCACTGGCTTTTCAGATACATTTCTTCTTCATAGGGGCAAAAGCAATACAGGACAAGGGATGAACTCAGCGAGTAGGTTCGCATCAACATGCTTGGAATGGATAGCTTCCATACTCATAATTACCACATCCAAGTTCATCTCATCGGCAATTTCACCAATAATGGCCGTTGGCTTGCTTCCTTCACCTAGCCGCTCTAACAGCTTGAACTCCTGATATCCACCTGCGCAAATGTTTGCTTATACCCATCAGCAACTATACCAGACAACATGTAAAACTAAGGATGAGGAACAAGTTCACAGTCATTAGTATTACGAAAAGTAGACCATAACAAGCAGTATACACTACATACCCGGACACTTGTGCTGCATGATCAAAATCAAGGGTAAAAAGATAATTGCAGACTCACATAACAGGAGCTCCACAACAGAATAATGAGATAACGAACTCATAATAAGATTGAAAAATTCGTCCAATATACAAGCCAAATGCTGAAGTTCCCAAGATTACTCTGTGCTAATCGCAATGCAGCTTGCGTGCAAAATACCAGTTGCTGCTAAGCACAGCAATGCAAGTCTAGTGCACCCATCCAAGTTGCACTTTTTATTCACAATATATCAACTGGTTCATGCTCTTTAAATATAGGGCAAAAACAGTAAATACACACCTTCAGATAAATGCCACCGGATGCTCGCTAGTTGGGTCTCATGCTCCGGGACTGCTTCTTTCTCCTTTTCATCAATAACTGCAAAGACCATAAAGACCTAGATTTCTTGAAATCTATCACTAAAAGTTTCTGTACCAAGAAAGTCATCTCTGTAGTTTAGCTTTTGAAAAAACCGATAGCACATAACATCTGGGACATCAAGAAACGTACCAACAACTGTTATGTCAGCTCCATACTTCTTCGCCAAAGCAGCGGCAGTTGCTGCAGCCTGATAAAATACCGAGAATAAGTAACTTCTATAAGGTTTATAAAAAAATATACATGCCACTTACAAAATCAAATGAGCTAGGTGAATATGTTCAAACCAAGGGGAAGAAAGCGGCAAAACAATATAATGCAGTTTGACAAAAAGAAACTGATGCAGATGTGTTCCAAGAGTAGCCAATACATATCTTTTCTCAGAACCACAGTGAAGAGGAACTAAAAGGCCCAGCATTTTATTGAAGCCCTTAAACCTCTTTAGATTTGGTGGTTGTACCATAAGAATAGTTCAAACAGTTGAATTGGAGGTTAACTCCAAATCACACACACACACACACACACACACACACACACACACACACACACAGACACACACAGACAGACACACAGACACACAGACACACAGACACACAGACACACAGACACACAGACACACAGACA